TTTATTTCGCCTGTTTATACAGTGAGTCTTTAAGTCTTACTTTCCATAAACAGTCCATCTTTGCACTCTGGTCCAATTTAGAAGACCGAAGACCGGGAAATAGCCTATAAATGTACAGCGTTTACTGGTACAAATCCCTCTTGTTGTCAGAACATCTGTCACTCACGGATCTCAGTCTGTTTTGACCTTTATAGTCCCATTATGGGTGTCTAAATACACACCGTTTCAGACGCCACATAGGAACAAAGCTATCCCATTTGTGAGAGGTTTGGCAAGGCTTCTGCAAACAACCAATCTCTCTGAGAGATTGAAAATATGGAGCCACATCTATAGAAGGTTAACTGCTCTGTGGGGGGAGGAGGAGATGCATACCTTGGCGTTGTCTGGAAAAGCAGTAATGTTGGTGTATGTCTAGGGGAATGGGCTGTTTAGGGGCCTATATTTGGATCTTTATTCTTTGTCGTGACAGCGTTCGATTCCCAATCTGAATTCCAGGAGAAGAGAGGAGTCAACAAGCGGAGTAAAGTTAGTCTGGCTTTACGAAGCGGCAAGGACGAAGCAGAGAGAGAATCCAAATGCAAGCACTCTTTTAAAGAACAATCAACAACTGAAACACAGAGGTATAAATACACAAGCAGATAAGCTCAACAAGATCACAAAATGACACGACACATGGCAGGATCAAATGACAAACAGGGAATCACGTGACAGACAAGACCCACACCATGACACAGGCGGCCATATGGAATATCACTGATTGGTGATCAGCCAAAATTGCACTGGTTAAGTGCGATTATTGACTTTCTCTCTGCTGTAAATCCTACAACGAGACACATCAGACCACAGCACTTTCCTCGATTCTCTGTTCTAGTCTAAAGGATACCTTAAATATTTACTGACCATCGTGTTTTTCTTCCAAGAACTCATTTTATCACCATTCAAAAAGTTAGTGTTTTGACATCCGTGTTTGCCGAGATAAAACTTTGAAATACCCCTTTGAAAAAAGAGGCTAAACTAAATACACAGAAGCTATGGGTTATTGTCTTATTAAACATAAATACCATTCATTTGATCAGAGCCCATTTTGGCACTCAAAAAAAAAATTACGTGAACAAAATAATGAACAGAAATCAATCATCCAAACAAACGGAATCACTGGAATGACTTTGACTTTCCAACTCAAAATAAGAGAGAACCACTCTTGATACTGACAAATGTAGTTCATAGAGTTCTTGTGTCCCTATCTTTAGTGAGTTATTCTCTATACACTGCTCAGTAACAACTGATCTAAATAAAAAACAGATGGTTACATAAGTCCAAGACTTCCAGAAACAAGACTTATTGGGCACCGTTAAGTGTATTGGCTACTGTCTGCCAGGCAAAAAAAAAAAAAAAAAGAAGAAGGATCTCAGATTTTCTCAAGTTTTGAACTAATTCTTCATTTAGTTGCTGGTAACATTAGAGGCCTTCAAAAATGGACTTGTGGCGTGGATGAAACTTAACTGGTCTGGTCTGTGCATATCCCAGCTTCCTCTCTCAGATCAAATCTTTCAACAAATCAACCACTGTTTCCCACCACATTCCATCCTTTAAATTTCAAACAAAACAACACTTAATACCCGATAGCCTTTTTCACAAACTCACACAAGCCACCCACCCCATCATGCCCCTTTACTTGTCTCATAAATCAACCAACCCTTTCTGAGGGACCCAATTTCCACATTTTTGTTCTCAGAATACCTTAAATGATCTAATGAGCGGTGTGGTTTTTCGTTTCGAGACATGGTGGATGTTGTACGGTGGGCTCGGGCCAGTCTGGACTTTGAATCAGTTCAGTCTGACCCAGCCGCACCATTTCAAAGGGCCAAAACTACAGCCCGTAACCACCATTAACTCCGTCTGCCGTGTCTACCACATGTGGTATTTAAACTGAGGCTGAGGGAGGGTCAGTTTGAAGTTTCAAAGTGCGGAACATTCTTTTAACGGCCAGCCAGAAGCCAATTATAGAGGCAGCAGCTTCAGATGAGGCGGCAGATTGAGGGCTAAACGACCTTTCTTAGAGTTTATTTTGATTTGATTTGATTTTTCTGGTAAATTTCAATATACTTATAGCTACTTGAGCCTTTTAGTTATGAAGCTTTATAAACTCAAAAAAATATATGATGTAGCCACTCTAATTTATGTCTTTACATTCGACTTTCTCAGCAGTGATGCAAATTGAGACGATAACCATGTAATAATCAATAATCCTGATTTATGATGCTTAAGTTTATTGTCTTCTGCTGATTTTGCAATATTCAAATCCATTAGTTACAGTCACCCACTCTGTTGACAAAAATGTGCTTGAATGTGCTAAATTATGATTAATGTTACACTGGAAAATGTTTGTGCAGCAGAGGTGTTAAGTGTGGATTTTATGCCTTCCATATGGTCAATTCCACAGAAGCATTTGTGAATAGAGTTGGTTCACGTACAGAGAGGCAGGGTGGAAAAAATTTGGATCATTTTTGAGGTATCAACATAAGGTTAGCATACCTCACTGAGGCCTGAATCTTCAACACATGTGAACCTGTTGAACCTGTAATACTCACATCTGTAGAAATGTATTTCTATCTCATTAAATAGTTGTTGTTTTTTTCATTCAGTCTCATTAAATGCAATTAAAAAAATATTCAACTTACCATCATATTTAATGACGACCACAACGCATCAACTATGGCATCATCACACATACAGTAGGATGGGCAGAGAGGGGAACTGATGATGTAACTAGAGGAGAAGTGAGAGATGCATGGGCGAAAGGAACGTCAGGCAAATCCCATGAGGAATGCTCCACTGAATCCCACAGGAATGTGGCCGCAAAAACCTCTGCTGCACAACAACCAAGCAAATGAGGGCATCCCTTTACCACAACCACCACCTCGCAAGCAAGACAGAGGAAACCCTGAGCAGGAAGTGACTTAAAAAACATAACACATAATGTCTTACTGCTTCAAGCCTTTTTTCACTGATCCTTGCTAAAACTTCCAAAGCCACAAACCCAAGGACATCTATAACCAAATTGTTTCTGTTAATTGAAATTTAAGCACTTGTGTATGGGAGCTGCTTATACATGATGGTGCCATATTTTTGTCTTTTTATATACAAGGAAATAATAATTAATGCAAACTACACATTTCTTTTCAAGATTATATGCAAAAAGCAAATCTGCCAGGAAGACAAATTTGAGTTTGGAATTAAGAATGTCTTTGAAATTCCAATTCAATTTCAGCAATTGAATTGAGGTATAAAACAGGTGGAATGTAATTGGATGTGGAATTGTAATTAGAATGCAAGTAAATTCAAATGAAACAATGCAAGTAAATTGAAATGAATTGAAATGTAAACAAATTCATATGATTGTGAAGGTGTGGTCTCAATAGAGATATTTCAGTTAAATTTCTTAGGCAAAAAAGGTCCATCCATTGTCTATTGCATAGGGCAACACTGGCAAATTTACATAACCAACTTGAACATGACTGACTGACTGTTTGTTCTTTGAATAAATCCAATCACTTTTCACCAATGACATTAGACTAAAAAAAAAGATGTGTTTGATATAGATATATCATGTATTTGGTACCAATATGATATAAACAGCATTTTGGTCGAACATTGGTAATCGGAGCACTCAAATTAACTGGTCTGGAAGCTGTCCAGACAGAATGAAAATGGGATGCTGGAATTGTGCAGCTATGGAAAATTGCTACTGACTCCCAGAATACTCATAGTCAAAGTATTGTTCACTAGAGAACAAATAACTGGCCTCCAAATTATGCGCAGAACACCCACCTGCCTAACCCTGACCCTACACCTCTTGGGAGAAAAGTGAATTGCAGTCATGTGACCACATACCCCAATAACTTCTGTCAACAGGTTTTCATTTCCCTAATGCCTGGAGTCTTTTCCATTACATCATTAGACAGTGACCTTTGACCTCTCTCAGCAACTGATACATGAATACTGTCTTAGCTCACCAAATTCCTGTTTCCAGTCCACATCCCGCCTAACAGTTTTATAATCGGATCACCAATTACAACCACCATTTTTAAAGACGGTTCCCTTTTTTCCTTCCCAACTGTTTTACAACATCATCTTCTTTTCCATCAACCTCTTTTAGAGCAGTGTGCCAACTTGAATAAACTCAATGAGGGAGCTTACAGATATGCTTCTGTTCAAAGACCAGGCAGAAAGTTGTTTCTGAAATATTCTATTGGTGGTAAAGTTTCACTCTTTCTTCGCCCTCCTAGGGAGGTAGTATGCATGACATTAAAGTTTAGCAGAGCTGAAAGTATTTATCTTTGCTTCATTGAGGCAGGAATGTAGCTGCAGGCACTAAAAGAACTTAGCATAGAGTGCAAAGGTAAGAACACGATTCTTACACACACCTGAATTGTGCCACACACAGTTATGTTTATTTAGTCGCCAAACCATGGGCACGGTCGATCCTGCTTGGGATTATATATACACACGCACACACACAGACACACATATCTATAGCTATCTATATGTGTGTGTGTGTGTGGGGGGGGGGTGGCATCTTTCATATCAAAATCTTAAATTCATCACCTGTTTCAAACAGTTTTTTTACCTTGTCTGTTTGTTATGAGTTTACATGTAGGACTAAGTATGTTAATAAAAAAAAAAGTTTTTATTGTTATCATCATTTCGTTGCATGACTACAGTACATATAAATGCACTCAGCATTATGATGAGCCTAATCTCTGCTGTAAACGTGGGGGTGGCTTTTAGCCCAGCTGGAATGAGAGGTTGTTGACAGACAGGCACATTACAATCCTCAACACCAGCAACACTGTTTTGAGACTAGCGACAAAGAGTGTGGACAAGAGAATGAGGAGGGAGGAGTGCAACAAGAGATCCTAGACTAGAGTGAAGATTCCCATATAAGGCAAGTCTTCCTCTGAGACTGTGTGAATGTAGTAACAGTATGTCTGCTGGCAGGGGGATAACATTCCTTCACCTCCCGTTTCTTCTCTGGGAGTTTTTCATTTCCGATTCGCTGGCTGGTAAGAGGCAGTGCTCCCTTTCATAAGAGCGAGGAGGGGAGTCTGGGGATCCTTCTTTTTTGTTTAAAAAAATATCTATATACAAACGCTAAAGTCTAGCCACTTTCCTGCTGCCCTTCTGTCTGCTGTCTGAAGGAGTAAAACAGAATCGTACTGCACCTGCACTGTAAAACACACACCTGACTAAATGTTATTAGCCAGGTGAAAGTCTACACAAGATTAAAGCATTCAGTCAGAATCCAGCCAGAGTTGCAGTGTCACAAGAAAACTTATACAAGATGTAAAAAAAACTTGTTTGAAAAAGCTATGACACGCTATGTCCACTCAGAAACGAATATTCTGTCATTATTTACTTTCCCTAATTTCCTTCCATACCTGTATGACTATTTCTTCAGTGAAACAGAAAAGATATTTTGAGGAATGTTTCAACTCTTTTTGCCAATGTAATTAAAGTGAATGGGGTTAAAAAACAACATTGGATTCCACTGAGTTTCATTGTATGGACAACATTTACAAATGTCTTCTTTTTATGACTAATGACAGAATTTTCATTTATAGATAAACGGTCCTTTAACTGATGCTTATTGGCCACTGATAATCTAACACCATCATTCTGAACTGTCAATCACCACAAGGTAATTTGGAGAACAAGATGGCCAAAATGCGAAAAACATGCACCCATCTATCTCTGAGACAAATTGCTTAGACTACCACCAAGCACTGCAGTGTAATGCCAAGACTGCACTTTTATTTTGCTATGTGACAGCCCAGGAATGTAGGATGGCAGCGGGTACAGGTCTAGCGGAGGGGGAGAGGGGAGTGGAGAGCGGAGGGGGGCAGGAAACTTGGAAAGAATGCCAGGAATGCCCATGTTTATCCAGCTTTCCATTGAGGTGGAGGCAGTCCACCGCAGCGCAGCGTGTATAAAGGTAGCTCAGCTGCTGCTGGAGAATCAGAACACTTCAAGTCCTCCAGAGAGAAGCAACAGTCACTCAACTCGGCTCTGCTTAAACTTCCTACCGAAGCTAAACTCTAGCTTTCACTCGACAAGAGCAGGAGGAACTAGATTCAAAGACTACGCAACGAGATCGGCTTGATCAAATCTGAAGAGAAGACTGCAGTTCAGCGGCAAGACATTGTAGAATCACAAAAGAAGATTTTCTTGATACAGATTGTAAAGAAGAGGTCATCATGATTTCTGGAATGAATCTGATTGCTCTGCTGTGCCTGACTTTCTTAAGATGGGTAAGTCCTTTTAATGCACTATTATGAGCTCGAGACTGCTTTCAAGTCTGTATGCAAGTGGAGATCTAGAATATTATGAAATAGTGTGATCAGGTTACATTTCAGATATTATGTCAGACACAAACAGTTCATTTGTAGAATGAATCCCTTCAGAGATTTCCTTTAAGGTAAATGTTGAACAAATGTGCAAACTCTCACTAGAACATTGTGTCTTATTCCTCAGGCTGTGGCTCAGGAGTGCAGTGGACAGTGCCTATGTCCTGATGTGCCACCCCAGTGTTCGCCCGGCGTGAGTCTCGTGCCGGACACCTGTGGGTGTTGCCGGGTGTGTGCCAAGCAGCTGGGCGAGCTGTGCACAGAGCGAGATGTTTGCGACCCCCACAAAGGCCTTTACTGTGATTACGGCTCCCCAAGCAACCGTCGCATCGGGGTCTGCACAGGTGAGGGTCTTGACTTTTGACATGCAGATACTGAGTCTATTGTTGTTGAGTTGAGTCAGAGTTGTAAGCCCCCTTCCATCTGCTTTCCACAGCCAGAGAAGGTGCAACTTGTGTGTTCAGTGGGATGGTGTACCGCAGCGGAGAGTCCTTCCAGAGCAGTTGTAAATACCAGTGTACATGTCTGGATGGTGCAGTAGGTTGCGTGCCCCTCTGTGGAATGGACATCAGGCTTCCCAGCCCTGACTGCCCGATGCCCCGCAGGGTGAAGGTTCCAGGGAAGTGCTGTGAGGAGTGGGTGTGTGACTCCCCTCACCAGAACACCTTTGTTGGACCAGTTTTGGCAGGTGAGCATTCCTTGAACCTGACTGTTCTCTGAGTCAAATTGACACACTAATGGTCACCATTAAGGAGGTTGGAATGAACACCGGTGCGATGATGTAATGATATGAATAGTAGTATGACATCATGCTGCTGGTTGGAATATGTTGAGTAATGTCTTCTCTTGTTTTGTAGCTTATAGAGAGGAGGAGACATATGGGCCAGATCCCTCCATGATGAGAGAGAACTGCCTGGTTCAGACCACAGAATGGAGCGCATGCTCAAAGACCTGCGGATTGGGAATATCTACCCGTGTCACCAATGATAACCGTGAGTGCCGTCTGGAGAAGCAGTCCCGCCTCTGCATGGTCCGCCCTTGCGAGTCACACCTTGAGGAGAAAATCAGGGTAAGCGGGCAACCTACCAACTAACTTATCATAACTTATCACCATGATGACATCACATAACTTGATGGCTAATTTTTCATTCTATGTCTTTACAGAAAGGGAAGAAGTGCATCCGCACGCCACGTGTCTCCAAACCCATGAAGTTCGAGATTTCTGGCTGCACCACTACCAAGTCTTACCGACCCAAGTTCTGCGGTGTGTGCACGGATGGTCGCTGCTGCACCCCTCACAGAACCGCCACCTTGCCCATGGAGTTCAAGTGCCCCGATGGCCAATTCATGAAGAAGCAGATGATGTTTATCAAGACCTGCGCATGCCACTACAACTGCCCTGGGGAGAACGACATCTTTGAGTCCATGTACTACAAGAAGATGGTCGGTGACATGGCGTGAGGAAACGGCGGCAGCAAGGAGTTCCATCCAGTGACTGTCCACTTGAATTGAACAGATATCCATCTCATATCTCAGCACAAAGTACTTGTTTGTCTTTTTATGGTTTGTTGCTTTCATTTTACGCCTTTTTGCGTGTATGTGTTTGTATCTTGTACATGGGTTCTGGATTTATATGCTGTATGTGTATTAATTTGTCATGGTGGATGTCTAACGCTAGGGGGTGGGGTTTGTAAAAGGACCGGGCTCAGTTCGGACACCCCCTAAAAAACAATACTGCACTATAGTCCGACTCTGTGACGCCCAATGTCACTGACTGGCAGATGATGCCAAGCCCCTCCCCTAAACTGTGGTGGGCAGATTCAGATTCTGAGAGCAAAAATAGTAAGAAACAGATGGCAGCTTTTAACCCCAGAAGCTAATCGCCTCACCAAGCTGAGAGAAGGCGGGAAAAAGAGACAGAAAAACTGATGTGCTCTTACGTTTAGTTGAATTTGTTGGCTCAGAGTTTGATTGAGCTGAACTGAGACATGAAGTTTGGCCAAGAACTATGAAGGTTAATATAGCACTGAGTGTTTGACTTCGACTATCTGGCTCCTCCTGTTGGTAGAGAGTCAGTACCCCTGTCAAAAAGACTGGATGAATTGTAGCTTCATTCTTTTTTTAATTACAGTATCTATTTTTTGAAAGCTGTAAATAATGTACATATTTTGTACAGCTTAAGTTAATTTAAATTCAAAGCATTTGTCTTTCTTATTTTCTTGCTTCACCATGTTTAATGATGGCTTCATGTGCTGACATGACTGTTCTTGGTACAGCTTGTCCAATATTTTTATTGAAAAGTGTGACCAAAAGTTACGTTTTCACTTTGGTAGTTTTAAATAAATATATTTTTTATATAAACATTGCCATCTTCCGAGTCATTTTTCCTCTTATATAACTAGTTACCTCTATACCTGATGTCAACCACACATGAACACCACCATGTTTTCACAAATGCCTCTCGGGTTCACACTTACTTCAATGCCATTTTTAAATGACTACTGTGGATAACACAGTCGCATTGTGTGCGGTCCATCAAGCTCAAGACCACACACACAGTCCTAACACATGCCTACACATACATAGATAATGTGTAAAACAGACAGTGAATAGACACTCTCATTTGCACTCTCATAACATAATTAAACATGTATAACTGATATACACTAATTCAAAGTTTAGGGTAAGTTTTTTTTCTTTATTTATTTTTTCTTTAATGTTTTAAAGTCTCTAAACTCACCAGGCTGCAGCTACTTGATCAAAAATATAGTTAAAAACAGTTATTTCACAAAAATATTGTGAAATATTGGTACAAATGTAAAATAAGTCAAATAAAAAATAAATAAAAAGTAATTTATTCCTGTGATGGCAAAACTAAATTTTCAGCATAATTACTCTTGTCACGTGATCCTTCAGAAATCAATCTAATATGCTGATTTGGTGCACAAGAAACATTTCTTTATCATCAATGTTGTGCTGCTTAATATTTTTGTGGAAACTGATACATTTTTTATTAATAGAAAGTTCAGCATTTTTTAAATACACAATTTTGTAACAATTAAAGTCTTTACTGCCACATTTGATCAATTTCACACATCTTTGCCGAATGCAATTATAAAAATATTTCAATAAAATACTTTTAAACAGTTCTTAAACACCATTAAGCACAATATTAAACACTGAGAAGCCTTTTTAGACTTCCAATGAGTTTGCACAGGGCGACAGGGGTCAGACAGAAAGCACACAGAGAAACAGATGTACATGCAAAAGAGGAAAGTAGGAAACAGGGGAGATAGTAAACGGTTTTAAAAGGGGACAGTAACTAAAATATGTGTAGCTATATTTGGCTTTGAGGCAGTGGGTTTAACAGCTAGGGAGTCTGAGCTCTTAAACGTACAGTAATGAGAAGGCTGTAATTGTCAAAAATGGCACCAGCAAACACTGTCAAATAACGTTGTCATACTCTTTTGGTTATTAGAAAACATATAGCTACACACATTTTGCCACGATTACAATGATAATAACATTAATAAAAAAAACTTACTTCATTTCATGATTTCAGAATCATTTTCAAATTGAAGATGCCACACACTTACACTTACAGGATTTGATCTGTGAACGATGAAAGTTGGGTCATGAGCGCCATCTAGTGCATCGACTGTCTGTTGTGAAATATATTCATAAACTTAGAGGGCTTGACATACCTACTACCGGTAATTCAACAAATAAAAGTGTCAAACATGACAGGTATATTGATTATTATGGGCTATTTAGCATTTTACAACATATTACGCACCTTTTATTGTATGAATAATACATTTTATATCCTGAGTCGACGATCTCCTTCATCTGTTCCACCAAGGTAGCATAGCCATTTACTCCATTAGTAAATCCTTTTATAGTTATACATTGAAATATTAAGTGGTCAGATGGGCTTTAGGCATTTATGTATAAATATCACTTCTATACGTATAATTCCACTGTGCCTCAGCCTTTTGTACCAACTTTGAACGTGTCTGCACATTCGACGGGACACACACGGGAGCGCGCTCACGAATTTTGGGTTTGAGAGACGTCACCATAGCAACACAAGGGGCGCGCGGAAAAGCGAAAAAACTCGCATCATTTCGAAACGGAGTGAGTAACGTTAGGCTATCCATTTTAAATATGTAACGATTAATATTAATGCAGTTCATTAACTTTATAGACGAGTAGGGTTAGAGTAAAGTCCACAAATTGGCATTTGTTAAGACTATACGCTTCAATGATTACAATAATTATAGCCTACCTTCAAGTAAATCCACTTTACCAGGTAAGTTATGTTGAGCTAACGTTACCGCAAAAACTGAAATTCAGTTTCAAACCTATTTTTTTACAGTCTATGGTTCAAACACATAATAGTTAAATAGTATAAAGATGGTTGCGCGCTTGTTTCTCTGTCGCATGACAATGTTATTACTAATTTTAAAGTCCCCGTGAAATCAAAATTGAACCTATTTACTTTGTTAGCGCATATTACTAGTCTTGTGGTGAACAATTAATCCGTGCAAGTAAAAATATATTTAAAAAATGTTTTACCTTGGTAATCTTTAATCAAAATCTGAAAAGTTTACTTCCGGTCTGGAACGGTTTCGTTTTCTGATGACGTAGGTTTCACAACTTGGGTGGGGAAACGCTTAACCACTCCCCTCAAACCGTTAGTTTGCTATGAGCGAGAGATGGAGAGGAGGAGCGCTAGAGTAAAACCCTGCCCTCTGTTCAATATTCCGTTTCACTTGGAAATACGTCACAGCACTGGAGAAAAATCGTTTGCAACTTCCGGTTCACGGGGACTTTAACTTAGTTCCTTTATGATGGCGATCGTTCGTAACTTTGTGATTGATATGTACTGCACCTTTGAATAAAAATACACTTGAATGTTGTTTGCATTTCAGCAGCCATTCAGAGAAAGTAAAAGACCATTAACTGTCTACTCGAGGTTCTTCAGATGATGTTTACTTTGGATGGTCAGTCCTGCCAGGTGGAGTCTCTCAGCTACAGTTCTGGATTGCATGCATGAATGCCTTTTCTTTCTTTTCTGCATGTACAGAGTGGTGTCATGGTGTTCTGTGTTGAAAACTGATTCTAATTCTAATTCTGTGTTGGAATTAGATGCTGCACTTCAGGTTACACACTCATTGAGCTCAACTGCAATAAGACTCGACCCAACCTGTGACTGTGATGATGTTACAGTCTCATTGTATTTCGTAACATGTAGACAATACTTATTATTTAAGTCAAATAAGGCATAAAATTGCAGTAAATGGACTGGTGGTTCTAAATTATTATTATTATTTGTTCTAATATTAGTCATTTAATGTCTTTGTGCCCATACATTGTGGAAATATGTTCAAATCAGAATGGAACAACAGTTAATATTGAAACTTTAGGCCAAACTTTTTTTTTTTAAATCTTTAAAAAATGTTTATGCTTGTGTTTAATTAAGTAGGCCTATTATATATATCAGGCTTGTAATGCTCATTAGATACTTGAGGAGGAAAGAAACACCCTATTCATGTTGTAGGCCCTATTTATGAAATTCTTGTAGCTTTTATTGTAAATCAAAGAAATATTAACTGTGTAGCAGAATATATCACTTTTTATCACTTATATCACTTTTTATCTCCTTAATGTCTTAGAATGATGCTTTGTAAGTAAATGTTATTTATTACCTGTCTTGTCTGGACCTTTGTTGTTTCTTGTTTCTATTGCCATGTTTGTAGTTCTTCATGTTTTCGACTCCGCATGGCACACTTTGCTTTTCCTCTGCAGTTTAGTACTGCTTTGTTAAAGTTACTGATCGTTATAGTTAAGTTAAACTATTTTTTGCATGCATTTTCATGAGTAATGATTGTAGCACAAGAAAGTCAGACTGTTTTGGTTATCAAAATTTCCAACAGTGCCATAAACCTATACATATGCCAATGTTATTGTTCTTGTGCCCTCAGTGTCTTCAAATGACATTCATAAATCAGTGAACTTGTCATAAATAAATTTACAAAGAGAATGAAGCTCTGACCAACCAGCACAATGAGACATACAAAGATTGCAGATGACATGCAACACACCACTTCTCTCAGCTCCAAAAAACAACTACTGGTACAGCCACAGTTGCATACAAACATATTATATAAACGGTGCACACTCAACCAACTCGACTGTCTGTTCGCCTGCAGGAACAATTACACTCTGAACAGCAAGAAGTTAATGCCATTATACAGCCACTGCTGGAGACTGAGGCTGGATTCATAAAGGTAATATTTTCTGATCTGATTCTTTCTGTTACCTCTGAATCATTTGTGTTTGTGTGTGTTAGTACAGAATCTGGATCACTACCTCACTCACAGAGACACACTGGACTTGAGGAAAACTAAACTGCTCTATAAGTGCTGGACACAGAGTGTGTGGTTGCCAATACAGCGGAGCATTGGTCAACACTTTACACACCATGGCTACAATGAGACACAGAAGCTAAGGAGCATGCATGCACACTACATAAACTACTGTAATGCTAAGGTATAACCTCAAACAGTTACCGTATAGTATTACAGATATTAGCGTAACCACAGTAGCTGAATTAGGCCATTTCAAGTCAATAGTCAATAATGCTATAAAGGTCAGTGTATCATCCAATCATTTGATTTCCAATTTGAAGTGAAATAAGCAGAAATGAGAAAACGGCACCTTTATTCGTTTTTTAATTAAACAAAAAAAATTTTTGTTTCGTTTTTTAGTTCACAGGCAAAAAAACGAATAAATTACTTCAAAATTCATTTTCCACTTGTGTGTGGTCATGACACGCCCTCTTCCGCTGATTGGTGAAGTAAATCTAAGCATGTGACGTCATCAGTCGTCGCTCAGGTCTGTTCAACAAAACAATAGTCCTCAATGGTAATCTACCCATTAAGGGTGTAATTTATCTTTTTGAAAACCTAAACAAATCTTTAGAATCTACTGGTAACTTCCTTCTTTAAAGTGAAGGAAGTTCCACTTCTTTAAAGTGAATTTCGTTTTGTATTAACTATTAATCTATCTTAATTTTAATCAATGTTTCATCCTTGACAAGGCGTAAACTTTGCCTTGACAAGACAAACGAACAAATTGAATGGTCTGATAGTTAACTGGAGATGTTTTATTAATTTGTATTGGTACATCCGTGCCATGAAGATGTTTTAAAAAGTGGTGGGGAGAAAATCGAACAAGGCAAAAAAGGAAAGTGGTGACGTGCGTGTTTTGAAATTTCATCTTTCATTCCGAAATAGAATAATGAAAGAACGAAAAAGTACATGGACCGGACATTAAAAAAAATGTGTTACAGGCCAGACATGTAATGCTAATAAAAAAACATGTACAAAATTAAATATAGATTTAAAATGAAAATTTAGGGTTACAAAAAACTTGGAATCATTTTTAGAATAAACAACAAAATATGAAAACCTGCTATAATGCTTTCCAAAATCTCCCTAAAAAACTAAAATCTGTTCTGTGTTTTTAGGGTTTTGTGTTTCTAGACAGTTATGATCCCCTAGAATACAACCCTTTCCTGCACCATTTCAACTCACCACATTATCACAAAGTGAGTCATATCATCTTTTTTATGTGAATAGTTACACAACCATACAAATGCATTAAGGAATATATGTAATTGATTTGGTGAAGAATTCAATCAAGTTTTAGTCAACTTACCATGTGCTTTTGTGCAGATTTCCACACCAACATTGAAGGACCCTCTGTCTCTTCAGTCACGAGCCAGGATTAAGGAAAAGACAGCAGTACTTAGCTGTCAAAACAGGTGCTGTTATTAAATAATTCATTTCACAAATGTATACGCTGCTAAACATGACTAGATTGTTGAATTACTTCCTTTAAAGGGGCTACAGAGCATTGAAATAGAAGTAGACTAAACAAAATGGCTTCTGTATGACCTTTAAACTCTGCATGCTAGGTCATGTGTACCGCCGTCAGCAGGTGGAGGAAATTCTCCAGAGTCCACCTGCTTCCAACAGAGCCTTAAACAGTCACAGGCCAAACCCTCAAGAGATACTACCTCACAGAGACTTTGGAAGGACCGCAGTCTGTTAAGATCAAGGTATCATCTTCCGGCTCGCTGTTGAGCTGCTTTTGTGTTTCTAGCATTTCTGTGGCAGTAATACTGAGGTCATTTGTTGCTGTTCAGGAATAGATGCTCTCCACATTCAGCTGCGGCAGAGGGATGCTGCTTCCACACCAAGTGCTGGTCCTCATATGGTTAATTACCACATTCCATAGGCTCTTTTTGACAGTTGGACACACATCTTCTCTTACTGAGGATGGTGCTTGTTTTACCATTCAAGTGCAATACATAATGAGGTGTACAGTATGCAATGTGTGTAGTTATTGAACAATGCATATTATGTTCTGCAACATCCACAAAGGTGAGCAAATTTGGACAATCATTTGAGCCTCACATAACAGAAGAAATTGAAGAAAATATATTAAGAATATACTTACAACGCTTGAACGTTTGTGAACTCCTTGCAGAATCTGAAAATGTGAATCATTTTAACAAATTGAGAGGGGTCATACTTGTTATTTTTTATTTAGTACTGTCCTGAATGCGATTTTTTACATAAAATATGTTTATATATAGTCTACAAGACAAATAAAATGTAAAAACAAAAGCAGTCACTGCTGGAAAGGGTGCAAATATGCAAATATGAAATTTTCTGATGAACATTGGGCAGTTTAAATGCTCATGACAAAAAAAGGCACTCAAGAACAAGCATCATTTAAAAAAACAAAAAAAACAAAACAATTGTGGATCATCCAGTAATGACACACTGTTTTAAGAATCAAGGGGTACATAAACAATTGAACAGGGTTATCTTACTCAGGACAGTACTAAATAAAACAGTACCTCTTATTTTGTTGAACTTTTTCATTTTCTGTAAGGGGTTACAGAACGCTACAGTAAACCTACAGTCTGCAAAATCTTTTGGGGTTCTATGAAAATAATATAATATAATTTTTCAATAAATATATTTAGAGAAATTCTGGGTTTTTTATTTTTGGTAAATATGAATAATTGTACCCAAAGCAATATAGCAATTGATTTCTATAGATGTTTATACAATTATGCATTAAACAAATAGTACAGGCAATCTTTCGACATCCAGCATCAACCCAAATGTACAACATCCAGATCCAGTCTGTTCATAAAACTGAATCCTGTTGTTCAGTTAGGCTTAGGCATAATCTATGGAAAACCATAATAACCATATTATACATTGTTAAAGCATTTATAAATAAAGCTTTCCTAAATTTATACAATTAAGAATTCAAAGAGTAATTTGTGTTCCATCACACATGTTCAGATAACACTATATAATAAAACGGTTTCAAACAGTGTTTCAGTAAAATTAAACTTTCGCCGAGGAGCTTCAGGAATAAGTTCGGGGACCACCGGGGTAGCACATGTGCTTGCCTTCGTGGATTCTACAAATTACTTAATTAATGTTGGGCATTTCCTGAGTGCAAGCAATTTCAGTTGAACAAGCAGATACATCTCTTTATACATAGGAACCTGCTGTGCATTGTGTTCCGATTAAAGGCAATGAAGTCAAATAAAATCAATTAAAGGCTGAAGCAGAGCAGTGTATTTCACTCCATTATCCCAGCTAACAGGGAGCATTCTCAGAACTTTGGCTAATGTTCTTGAAAAGGTTCTCTCAAAGTTATGAACAAAAATTCTTCTGTTTACACAAAGCTATCTGGTCTTTAATAATGTTCTCAAAGCATTAAAACAAAATGCTTTTTAAGTATTGTTTATACATTTTGTTCTGAAGTGCTATAGTTGGATTTTTTTTTTAATTTTACTACTTGTTTCAGAATGTTCAGAGAACATTTAAAAGTAATGTTCTCAAAATGTTTGCAGAATGATAAAATGGATTCCAAAATGACTGCATGACCCAGGGGAAAAACTACTTTTTAAAGCTACACTGTGTAACTCTTTTAATTTATTCTTAGCTAAAAACACTTAGTTCTTTTAAAAATATATGTGCTCATTAATGTATATTTACTTCGTTCAAGTAATAAATTATTCTCGTGAGTGTATAATATGCCATTGAAAATACATACGGGTAAGCCGTTCTAATGTCGGTCGCCATGTTGCCCCTCCATCTTGAAAGTACATTAGCCAAAGAGGGACATACCCATTAATTCAAGCTTCGCCTTTAGCGTTTACGTTTGAGTTAACACTCATGGACGAGGTCGAACTGGAAGCCATGTTAATCTTGGACTACATTGGCCACCGTAGGAGTTAAAACGAAATCGGAATTGAGAGGAACAGAAACTAATATTCACTGGATAGTCATATGCCTTTTCACCGCTAGATGGGGGTAAAAATCACACAGTGTAGCTTTAAAACAAAGAACTAGACGTTTTGAACGTCCAGAGAACATTTAGAAAAACGTTTTCATAACTTAAAGGGAACATTTTGTTAGCTGGGATAGCAATCTTTGGCTTTTAAAGAATGAAAGAACACCTTATCAAAGTCAACTGTGGTCACACAGATTATGTTCAGATTATAAATGCAATTTAAAAAGATCTAAATACAAACCAGTTCCTATCCCAACCAAATCATCACATTATTGCCCAGTATTCCCCATCATACAACTAAATATGACACTACCAGCCTCGATTTTACAGCATGTAAAGTGGTTCACCATTTCCATTTCAGGAGTGCTCAATTGTAAATTTGAAACTTTGTTTTAGTGATCTGTTTAATGTTGAAGTGCTAATGAAGCAGATTCACAGGTTAGGTGTTTGCTCATAGAGCTGCAAGTCAAGCCGCACTTTGACCTCTCCCGTTGGAACTTCATGAAGCAGCAGACGCCGTTCCAATGGGCCTTTACCATCTTGATCCTTCTTTATTGTTGCTACAGGAACTTCAGTACGACCTAGAAAATCTGTATTGAAATCACGATCAGTTGAAAAGATGTTTTTTGTGTGTGTATATTATGTATGTGTGTTGCCGTGTAAAATCCCACCGTCAGGAGAAAACTGGTCCCTCTCAAAGATAGTGAGGCAGAGGACGTCCTGATACAGGTCTTTGATGAAGAAGTGGCAGTTAAAGTTCCATTTGGGGTTGAGCGTGTCGGGCTGATGGCGGGACGTGTAGCACTGAGCGCCCATTGTTAGCTCACAGTATGGGTTACTCTTCCCTGTAAACACATCACACACTGCAAAAATCACTTCCTAATTATATTTTTGTCTTTATCTCCAGTATTAATATCTAAACATTCTTAAAACTAGATTAATTTGGGCTTTTAATAATGGGCTTAAAGTCACACTCAGATTTTTTATTTATTTTTTATTTACATCCAAATTGGAGGAAGGGTTTAAGGGACCAAAAATAATTGGGCAACTGACTCAAAAGCTGTTGTCATGAACAGGTGTGGGCTATTCCTTCATTATTTATTCATCAATTTAGCAGGTAAAAGTTCTGGAGTTGATTCTAAGTGTGGTATTTGCGTTCCCAACATTCAGCCAAGTAAAGAACACTCTCCAGGAGGTCCTCCAGTGTCATTGTCAAAGTCTACAATCAAGAGAAGACTTCACAAGAGCAAATACAGAGGGTTCACCACAAAGGTTCAAGCCTCAAGAATGGAAAGATAAGATAAGACGGTAACACTTTAAAATAATGGTCCGTAGTTAACAAGTAACTATGCAGGAAGTAATAGGTAGTACTGCATTAACACCGAACTTAATATTATTAACTAATATGGAAGCAATATCAACTAAGCATTAAGAAATAGGTAATTTATTACAAAGGTAGTTCCTTGGTATGTATTTGATTATTACTAAAGAAATATATCCTGGTAAAGCAACACAAAGGAGGAAACCAAGTCTTTGGTCCATAGGTTCCAGACTTCAGGCAGTCTGCAAAGGATTCTCAACAAAATATTAAAATATTTAAAAACATTTTGCACATGATTATATTCATTGTATTCATTGGTTTCAATTCCTAAACCTTCTTCTTGTCTTTTTTTTTTTCCCAACCAATTGAATTAAATCTGAAACGACACTTCTAAATCATCTTAATTTTATTCTGGTCTGGAAAATTGAGCCTGTGTCCAAATATATACGGACTTAACTGTGTGTGTGTGTATATATATAGTGAGGCTTGTGTATTGCAATTCGCACCGTTGGGTTTGCAGGGCTTCAACTCTGTCGCCTCCAGGACCGTTACTAACAGTCTCCCGATTCCACTGTTCTTCTGAGAGCGAGCTAAACAATGTAAACAGACTTTTATCAGTAATGCTATCACATTGACTTTGACTCTTAATAGCCATCACTGAATCCCAACCTTGGTATGCCTTCTCTCTTTTGAGTTTCTCAGTCTCTATGAAGAGGTCAGAAGCTGTTTTGATCTTCTGCACCCATGCTGTCCTGATTTCAAATGAAAGTGATCAATAACGTATACTGCAACAGACACTTACTGTTATAAATGAGTATTTTTGCTTCACTACAGAATAATACTCTACTGAATGTTTTATAGATTTTATTTCCCTTTAGTTCAGTTCAGTGAATCTCTTCAAGTGTGTGTATGATTGTAGTTTTAAGACCCATTCACACCAAGGAGGATAATAATAAGGTTTTAACAATCTATGAAAGTAGGGAAGTCTACACCACAACTATAACGATAACAATATAGAGGAATAATATTACTGGAATCACTTTTCAGAATGATTTTTTTCCAGCTGATGAATGATAAAAACATAGACAGCCAATAAGAATCCATCCTGCTTTAAAGAGTTTGAGCAGTGCACGCTTATAATAATCAACATTATCATTGGTGGATAGTTATCGTTATAGTTACCATTCTTGGTGTGAATGGGCATTTAGGCATTTCCCTAAGCATTCTAGTTTGAAAGTGTACCTCTCATTAATGGTGTCAGCCTTGAGTGTGTACACACGGTCAATGTGCGAGATGTGAAAAACTGGATCGTCGCTTGAAGGGTCAGAGGGCATTTTGACCAAGACCTCATTCAGAAACACTGGCTAGAATAAAACAAATCAATTTTACGAATATTACTAGTGTTTAACACAAAACAATCTAATATAGCTAAGTACAAGCTCTGAGGGACATCTAACCAATTGTGTTGCTTTACCGTTTTATAGATCTTGTACTGTGCATTTGAGTTGGGATTGAAGAGTTTGTCTGGTCCAGATGAGAACTGTTTGGAGGTGTAAGTGAGGAGCAGGAAGTCATTAAACAGGAATGCCCAGAGTTCTTTGCTG